CCAACCTGAAGTCAGTTTATAAAGCAGAAGGCAGATTAATTGCTTTTGCAGCAAAACAATTTGGTGGAAAGATTCTACATTTACCATAAACTATTTTAAGTGATCAACCCTATCAGGGAACACATAGACATACCCTTAAATGTCTTCTTTTTTCTTTCATTTTATATATTTGGTACAGGGTCTCACTATGCAACTTGGACTCGTAGTGATCCTCCTGTTTTCAGCCTCCCCAGTGCTGGGATTACAGGCATGCGCCACCACATCTGGACTTGGTCACTGGTTCAGCATGCCCTGGGGGCTGGGCTGGTATGGCCATGCAGGACAGGAGATTGAGCCCTGGTCTCTAAGCTTGCCAAGGCAGGCACTTAGTCTGTGAAGCTATCTCAATGGCCCTTTAATTGTCTTTTTACAGGACATGATTTTTGTATAATAAGTCTTCCATCCATTTAAATTTAAAATTTAGCTGGGTGTGTGGATGCACATCTGCAATCCTAGCACTCAGGAGGCTGACGCAGGAGGATGGACCTCAGTTTGAGGACAGCCTGGGCTACGCAGTGAGTTTACGGCCAGTCTGTACTACATAGTGAGACTCTGTCTCAAAAAAACCCCAAAAAACAAAAAAGAAAAAAGAAAAAAAAACCGTTCCAGGGGAAAAATATTCTTGACCTTAAGCAGATCTAAATCAAGAAAACTGGAAAAGTTGTAGCCCATGTCAATTTCTATGCTGCTTAAAATCATTGATCTTCTACGAAGGTTATACTTACCAAAACCATGTGGGCTATTAGATTACCTCCGAGAGCTCCAAAAGTGTAATACACAAGAGCCTGTAGAAGAAAAAAAGATGTTCATCTGAGCACAAGGACCTGCTTATTCAAATTATAACAAACACAGTGTTAAAAGTGTTACCTTTGCCTGACTTGAATTAACACCAAGTCCAGAGGCATAGAGAAAGCCAAGAGCCTGAAATAAAAGGGAAAGTTAACAATTTTTCCTCTGGCAAAACTTTAAGATAACACAGTTTTATGCATTATGAAAAGATGTAAAGTCCTTTAAATGCTAAAAGATTTGAATGCAAGTATGTACAACTTGGAATTAAAGAGCCTCAGTAATGTATTCTTGGTTTTACAAATTATACATCTAAATATACCTTTATTTTTATTTATTGTTATTTTTAAATATATTTAGTATAGGGTCTACAGGGTCTCACTACACAGATTGGACTCGTAGTGATCCTCCTTTTCACAGCTTCCCAAGCATTGGGGTTACAGGCGCACCACCACGCCCAGTCTCAATCGCTGTCTCAGTGCACCCCAGGGGCTGGGCTGGCATGGCACTCCAGGGATTGAACCCCAATCTCTGTGTCTGCCTAAGCAGGTGCTTTAATCCGCAGAGCATCTGGCCGGCCCCTAAACATACCTTTAAACAAGTGAAAAATCTGCCATAAAGACAATTTAGTGAAAACAGAGCTAGGGGCTGGAAAGATGGCCCAGTGGTCTAACGTACCTACTTAGAACAAGCTTGGCAAAGCACAGGGACCACGGTTCGATCCTCCAGCACCACATGCCAGCCAGCCACGCCCCCTGGTGGGCTGAGCTGGACACACACACACACACACACACACAAAATTAAATGTAAAAAAATAAAAAAAAAATAAAAAAAAGAAAACAGAGCTAAACGCACATAAGCATTACTTATACTTCATGTTTATGAATAACTACTATAAAGACAAATCAACTCTTTATGCTGTTACACTGACATACTTCTCTACCTATGCAGAGTGGAATACACTCTGAAAAAAGAACAAGATTATCAGGACAAACTCTTTTAGGAATAAAGAGAGGCAATGAGGGGGTCAAGGGTGAAATGCTATTTTACAATGTTTGAGCACATACTGTTTCCAAAACATAACAGTGAACAAACAATGCGTTAGTAAGGTTCTCGATGAAGGCTACAAGGCAGGTACTCATCAAAATCCATGAGCTACCTGGAGTTTCCCAGCTTCTCTAGTTAGGTAAGAGGCTCATGTGTCTGCAGTGTGGATGACAGTGATGTAAGCCACTTTCAGGCCTGCCCTTTGTGAATTCTCAGGCATTCCTTCAGGGTTTCCTTTCCCTTCGTGGCAGCTTGGCAGCCTGTGTTCTAAAAGGTAGCACTACATCCTGGAAGTGGCCCACGATTAGGAGGTGCCACATGCACATGAGCGATGCAAGCAGGAGAGCAGCATCAAACGTGGTGTGAATCAAAAGGGAGGACTGCAAGTCTGCGCCAGGCTATCCCAGCGACCCTGACTCCAGAAAAGAGTAAAAGAAGGGCAGGGATACAGCTCAGTATAAAGTCTGGCTTATTCTCAGGTACTCGGTATAAAGACTGGTTCAATCTCAAGTACTACAAAAAAAAAAAAAAAAAAAAAAAGCACAATGCAATATAAATACAGAATATCTCTTATAATGCAGTCTAAACAAACCTATTTTACTTGAGTTCAATGAGTTTTAGCCGTGACATCTGTTGATAGGAAATAGAAGTGATGGAATGATAAAATAGAGGTAGAACATTTTACAGAAAATCTGGCCCTATCTCTAACACAGGAGAAAAAACCACTTGGGGCTATTAGAAATTATAATTACCGTGCCAGCCCCAACTCCAGGGCGAGCAGAGAGGGAATTGGGCCTGGGCGTGGTGGCATGTGCCTGTAATCTCAGTGCTTGGGAGGCTGAAAACATGAGGACTGTTATGAGTCTGATCTGTGTAGTGAGACCCTGTACCCCCTGTACTAAATACATTAAAAAAAATAACCAAATAGGGCTGGTGAGATAGCTCAGTGTTTTAGCTAAAGTGCCTGCATAGGCAAGCTTAGGCAAGCAAAGGGACTGCAATTTGATCTCCAGCACCACATGCCATGCCAGCCCCTGCTCCCAGGGTGGGCTGAGCTGACCACTTAAAAAAAGGAAAAAAAAAATTACAACCAAATATATGGTGTAGTGCAGGACTAGTGTTATGGTTTGTATCTAGGTGTTCCCCCCAAAGCTTCACACAGTCATGGGACGGCTTCTACAGTTTATGATTAATTCATGATCCAACACTGGGATTTTTTTTTTTTTTTTGGGAGAAACAGGGATTGAACTCAGACCCTTGTGCTCGCCAGGGAAGCGCTTTTTCTACTGAGCCATCTCCCGGCGCCCCCAATGCTGGGATTGTGGGTGTGAGTGCTACACCTGCCCTAGGGTGGGCAGCCTGAACACAGTATAAGGGAGGGAAAGAGGCTTACTCAACTGCTGCTCCTCCTTTTGGCTCTTGTTGATTTTACTGCTGTCTGCCACCATGAACTGTTGCTCCCCTCCCATGTGGCACTGTCTTGGAGCCATGGACTGAAACCTCCATGAACTGTGAGCTACATAAACGTTGCCTTCCCTAATTTTGGGTACCAGGTATTTTACCTCAGCAATGAGAGAAAAGTAACCAAGACAACTAGGTACTTAGACAAAGCAAAAACATTTTTGACTCAACAGGACATGAATATGGTGTGGGGATTATATAACGTAAAAATATGTGGGAATGGAGAGGCGAAGGCTGTTGATTAAAAAGAGCAAGTTGTGGGGGCCAGGAAGATGGCTCAGTGGAATAAGCGCTTCCCTGGCAAGCACACGGCCCGAGTTCAATCCTGGTTCC